GCCACCGTCTTGACCCCGACGGGCGGCGGCGGCCCGGGGGAGCGGCCGTCCTGGAAGCAGCCATGCGCCCGCTTCAGCTGGCGCGCGGTCTCGATCACGAACTCGATGCGATCGGCACCCTCGTAGTTGACGCAACCGCGGCATACGGGTTCCGAGAAGTCCCAGATCATGGCCCAGGGCATACGAGGCAGGTCGCACAGGTAGCAGGATTGTCTCCGGGACGAGGACACCTGCGCCGCCGACATGATGCCAGCCCTGGAGAAGGTAGGCCCCCGCCCGGGCTGTCTCCGCGGCGCCTTCTCCTCCGAGAGGACTGGCCGGCTGGGGAGGGAGTCCGGCAGCGGGGGAAGAAGGGGGGGGCGAGAAAGTTCTGCCCCAGGGGCTGGAGGGAGCGCGAGTCTCCACCGCCGGCGCAGCGCCTCTCCGCGGGGGCTCCACCAGCCGAGCGGCGGAGTTCAGCACGTTCCTCGCCCCCACCTCCTACTGCGGCTGTCTCGTCGGGAGGGGAGCTCAGGCGCCTTCTTCCTGGTGCTGCGGACCCTGGCTGGAAGCTTCAGGCCCGGGGGGAGGGGGCGAGGGTGCCGGGTGCTGGCCGCCGTTGGCTCTTGGCCCCCTCCCCGGAGACGCTGGTGCGTGAAAGCTCGAAAGGGACTGTCTCTTCCTCTCCCCTGGGGGGGTGTCCCCCTACGAGCTTCGTCCTCTACCTGCCAGGCTCCCTGGGGCGAGGGCTAGAGGGTTCAGTGTCACCCAGTGCCCGGGTCCAATCTTGCTGAAGTCGCTGCTTCCCCGGAGGACCGGGGGAGGGTGGGGGAGCCGAGAGAGGAGCTTCTCCCCTCCTCAGCGTCGGCTGTTCCGCTGGCGGCGGCTGGGTTTGCACGGCCGGAGGGAGCCGCTGCGGCCACTGCTTCCAGGACGCACGAGAGCAGGAGAGGAGCGCACGCACGCAGGCTCCCGCCGCCCCCAGGCCTGGCCCGCGACCCGGCCGCCGCGGCTGGCGGCTCTCACGTTGGCTGCAGGGCGCTCACGCGGCGCCTGGGCCCGGGTCGCATCCCTTCCCGCTCGCACTCGCCCGGAATGTGGGGTTGTGATTGTTACTCTACGTTCCGGAGGCGCGTCTCGGCGCTCCCGCTCGCGCTGCGGCTCGCGCTGTCCCCGGCTTGGCCGCGCGGGATGCCGCCCGGGCGGAGCGCTGACGTCACCGCCATGCTCTGCACCAGTTCTCCCCCCGCTTACACTTCCTCTGTGAAGCCCACTTGTTGCTCGGAAAAGGCGCATGCGCGGCTGGACGCCCAGATTCCTCCCTGTGGGCCCCTCCTCCACGCCTCCGCCCTCCCCTCCCCCTTCGCCGTGTGTGTACAACAGCTGAGGCCCAGCGAGCTAATGCTGGAAGTCCAGCGCTGGGGGTGGAAATTAAACAGACGATGACCTTTCCTTTCCCCGCCCGGCTTTCCCAAGTAAAAACGCATTTAAAAACCACAAGCGTCGTTTCCGATCCTGTTCCCCACCCCGGGCAGTGAATTTAAATGTCCTGTTTAAAATTTTTGTTATGAATTTCATGTAGGGTATTACCCTTTTCGTCTGCAGTCAAACCTTTTCCCCCCGGTGTAGATGTTGAATTCATTGCTACCACTAATGCTGAAGCACCTGCAAAATTAGCTGTTTTCCAATCTTCCAGAAACTGCCTTTTGTTTTTGTGTCCTGGTCCAGGAACCTGAGCTTCAACGAAGGAGCTAAATGAATTCAGGGTGAGCTACCCCTCCCCCCAGCCTCAGTCTAAAAATTTTGGCTTAATGTCTAAAGAAGCTACGAGCACCCTGAGGCTTTTAAGGAAAACAGTCAACTAGCTGCGCACAGCTGCAGTTGCGGGTAGGGAGGGGGAGGTGCTGGAGAGGCCAAACAGGTGAGTGGTTTTTCCGGGTTTGATAAAAGAAGGTGGGGGTGGCATTTAATAATATTGATATCTCTTTGTAAAGTACGGCACAGTTTACAAAATTCTTTCTCACGTGCTGTGATTTCATTCCATAGTGCCCCAGAAGGCTGAGCAAGGCCATGATTTCTGTTACAAAATCATTGCTCATCATTATTGCTTGCTACAGAATAGATATGTTGGTCATAGCTCTAGTTGGGGCATTTCAACTGATTCTGCTAAGTGTTGGGTCTGTTTAGGATTTTTGTTTGTTTGTTTTGTTTCCCTCATGAAAACTGAGATAATCCTGAGTAAGGCTGGAGGAGGGGAGGCAATATACTGGGATTTCAGGTTCTGTCTGGCAGATCAGGATGGAATTTCCTCTCCATCAGTTATAGTAAGTCCTCACTTAACGTGGTCAATAGGTTCTGCGATCTTAAGCAGAAACCAGTTTTACTATAGGCCAATTGATATAAATGAGAAGTTCCTACAGCATTCTACCAACGTCGATGTTATAATGAAATGACCTTGAAAGAAATGCCATTATTAGAAGACCTGCTGTACTGGCTTTGCGACCTTGAACTAGTTACTTGCCCTTATACAACCTCTTTTCCATCTGCAAAATGGGATCGTAGCTCTCAATTTATTAGAACTGTTTGAAATTTCATTTTGTGTCATAATAGGAGGTAAGTCACTGAGACTTGCTGCGAGCCAGACATTGCTGGGTGGTTTACTTACATCACCGTTAAACCCTCAATATTATCTACAACGTAAATTCTATTATTAACTGTTTTACGGGTTCAGAATGTAAAGAGGTTAAATAACTTGCCCAAGGTCACACTGCCATTCGAGATGGAACTGGGATCTGAATCCAGTAAATCTAATTTGAGATGTGGCTTTGACAAACTTAGATTCTCAGAGGTAGTTTAGGGTGCTCAAAATTTCCATTGGCCCACCCCTTCTTCGTTACATACAATCTCCTGTAAAGTACTATACAAATACACCTTCATAACCAATCCTCATCCTCCCCTTCCAAACAGACTGTGCTACTGAGTTCTTCCATATACAGAAATTGTGGATCTGCCTCTGCCACAGACTATAACATAAGTACATCGTACACGATGCAGAGCACAGGGTCAGGCTCACAGGAAACTGTCAGTAAGTGTTGGTTATTATTAGTATTGATATTAAGGTTTCTACTATCGCAAAGTTAACACATGAACGTACTTTGTAAATTGCTTTAAATGTAATCTTACTATTACTACTGTTACTGCTAAGTATAATAAAGTTCAGTTGAAGCAACCAGAAACATTTATTTTTATTTTGACACGACCTTCAGAGCCTGTTCCCCCTTCCAGCATTCTCCAGCACCCAATCTCTCACTCATTCTGGGGCCCTAAGTGCAAAGGAAAGGGGAGTTTTTAAGGATAAGGAGAAAGGGGGAAAGGAAGACTCCTAGGGAGCCCCTCTTTCATCTCAAGGCAGCCAGATTTCTGTTTTTGCAAAACAGTGAGCTCACTGTGCACTCCCCAACAATAATAAACTTTCCCTGGCCTGGCTGGCTCCGGGCAGTGATTCCTCTGTAAAGAGCTGCTCCAGGAGCCTTGCCTAACCCTTCCAGACTTCAGCCCTCCCCATACCGCAGCTACCCTGGAGTGAGTCAAAACATAGAGCTGGGAAATGGAATGACATCCCTATCAGCCCAAAGCTCGGGCTCATTAGCTTTGGCTAGGCTGAGTTGCCCATTTCTTTACATTTATATTTATTCAGCTTATCCCTTTATTAAACCAAAAATACTGAGAACTAGCAGCATAGCCCCAACCCTCTAGCCAGGCTGCTAGAGAAAGCAAGTTGGATTCTGTCATAGTGTTATGTTTGGTATGCATGCACACATATGTCTCCATCTCCTTGTCTGTCTCTGCCCTGATAAAAGGAGACAGATACACACACACACACACACATAAGGACACAAGTGTGGGGTGTCTTCAGCCACACTGAGAAATAAACACGCATTTAAACACGCTTCCATACAGCCTCATAATCCTTTAATTTAAAAAGCATAGCTCTCTTGATACTCTTCCTACCCTCAAAAAATCACCATCATTTATGGTGATAAATTTCATCTGAACTGCCTGTCTGAGATAGTCGTCTGGGGATGTGTCAGGTACTGTGAGAGGCAAGAACACGAATGTTTTGGAGATAGATTTTCCCTTGCAGGAGAATCCCATGTGGCAATACTGAGTCCACAGTGGAAAGGAACAGACGGGGGTGGGGCTCAATCTCAGAAACCAGGTGGAGAGAGCGACAGTACTCTGGTGGTGAAGTCTGTAGACTAACGGCCCCAGGCTCAACCAGGCACACAGGGAGATGCCTGCAGCCCTCCTAAAGTTCCTTTCTACGGTTGTCTCACCCCAGCTTGCCATCTGAGCTGGTACCCCCAGAGAACCCAGCCCTGAACTGGAGCACAAGGTCAGCCCTCCACTTGGCCTTTCCGGAGGCCATAGCCCAACGTTAGGGGTAAGAAGGTCGCAGCGTACCCACGGACTTCGAAGCTCCCTGCAGTCAACCCCCTGCTCCCCCCTCCTCCCGCCCCCCGCAGTTTCGTAGCAATGATGGGTCGGGTTGGGGAGTCTTCAGCCTGGTATGCCTGCAGCCAGCTGGGATACCTTCGAGGAGGCCCAAGCTGAACCTCACGTAACCCCGCTGCAACTCTAGTGGCCAAGCACTCGCGCAAGAGAAAGCCCTTTTTTGGTAACAGCCCCGCGGTAAGCAGGACCCGGTTCTTCAGCCTCCTAGAGCTTCATCGCCTCTTGAGCAGATGAAAACAAAAGTCTGGGTTGGGCGCTCCTCTGGTTCTCAAGAGCCCCCTCCCTCACATGTCAGGAACCCCCCGGGGCTATGGGGGTGGAGGAATTGAATCAGCCAGGTAATTTACACATTCACTCCCAGGCCCTTCCGTGGCGGAAGTATTTGCCTTTTCCTAAAGGATTAATTCTGGTATTAAAAAAAAAAAAAGTATTAGTTTAGGCCAGGGCGTAGGGTTACGCAAGAACCACTCGAGCGTGAAATCGCAGGAACAACGTGATTCGCTGAGAACCCTGGGGGAGAGGAGACTGCGTCGCCAGCCAGGACCTGCCCAGCCTGGGGCTCGCGAGCAGGCGGCCGCTCTGTGCAAAATTGGGTGGAAGGAAAAGTCGGACGGAGTGGTTGGCGCTGGCACAGCGGCCAGAGCGAGCGATCAGATCTCTAACTGCTTTCTTCCTGAAAGGGCGGGGAGCAGGGAAGCGAAGAAAGGCGCA